CCCCTCGGCCGCGCCCCCTGGCGCCGCTGACCCGGACCCGACGTCGCCCCGGAAGCGGCTCTGACCCGGAAGCAGCGCTGACCCGGAAGCGGCGCGGGGCGCTCGGGAGGCCTCTCGGGTCCGGCGGTCGCCGCAGTTATTGACAGTGAATCCGCGGGCAGAGGGTGCGCGGGGACGCGGGGCAGGGCCCGCCCGGCAGCTGCTCCTGTTCCCTTGCCGAGTTACACAGACCCCGCCAACATCGGGCTTCCCTCCAAACAAGCTCATTTATACATCTATATATTTTAAGTAAAAGATCCGGTTTTACCAAAATACCACACACGGGCCCGGGGCTGCGAAATAACTTCAAACCAATTCACTATGAAATTACTTTTGGTGATACATGATGTGATTCTCAGAGCAAACGCTCTGCCCCCCTGCCCAGGGCCACCCCCGGCCTCCCTGAGCAGAAATTCCTGCTCCGGACCGGTCAGTGGCAGCTGAGAAGTGAGAACAGACACTGGCAAAAGGAATCTGCAGGCGGGGGCAGGAACTCCCAGCTGGTGCTTATCCTGGAAGGAAGAGCTGCTGTCACTGGAGCTGAGCAACCCGGGGCTGCTCAGGGGGCTCCTGGGGCACTCGAGTCTGGTCTCAGTGCAAATGAAAACGGGCTTTAAAAGGCAAACATTCCTGCATGCGTCTGGGCTGCTGGCACGGGAGTCATTAGGAACGCAGAGACACTCCTGAATCCCCAAAATATGTCAAATTCAGACATCTTGAACTAAATCTCCTCTGTCTTGGCAAAGTAATGGTTTGGAGGGGAAGGAAAAAAAAAAATAAAAAGATCAAGCAGATCCCTGTGCCTGGTGTGTGGATCCCCTGCCCGGGGGGCACCAGCTCTTCAAAGCAGTTACAACACGTTGGTCACACAAGGAATTGCTCTAAAAGGCAGAGACACTAAGATCAGAAGCCACCTGAGGAATGTCCCACTTCTGCCTGAAGGCAGCCTGAGCTCACCGAGCTGCACACAGCAGCTCCCAGCCCCTGTGTGACATTTTCCCCCTTGTTGGTACCACGACTCCTGCTGGGACCGCCTGCCCGAGCCCCCCCAGCAGCCCCCCCCGATCAGCGACAGGGGCTGAACAGCACCGAGCACCCTGACCTGCAGCCCAACGGCTACCGAGGAACATAACACAGATAAAAGCTTTTACAAAAGAAGCCTCAAGACCAAAGAAAAGTTGTTCAGACAGATTCCAAGCTTTTAAGCTTTCAGAAGAAAGCAGACTTGAAGCACAGCACGGAGTTCCAGCACAGGGAAGAGCTGGGCAGGGGAGGTGCCAGGGGGAATCCTGGAGCCGTGGAAAAGTCTGACCAGAGCTACTGAAGTAGCTTTTGATGATCTGAAGTCTAATTTCCTGCCCCCCCATCTATTTTCTATTATCCTTAAAAAACATCTCTGCACACATCCCTGGGGAACATTCTTGAGGTGTTTAAGAAGTTGTGAATTGACCAATATTGTTTTGATGAACAACCCAAAAAGCTGTGAAACTTCTCAAGAAAGCACTCCAGGGAGCAAGTCCACTTTGCCCAGCTCACAGAAGTCAGTGCTCCATTTAGTTTGTGCATGAAGCTAAATGACACATCACAGGAGTGATTAAAGACCAGAGCATTAAAGACTCATGACCCTGTATTCCCTCTGACCCTCATTGTGAGGAGGCAACTGCAAAAAAACAAAAGGCAAGAGCAGTAACTTTGGCTGGATGTTCTAAAGCCAGTTTGAACAGCAGTACAAACAGACGTGGCTCCTGCGGGAGCAGCATTTGTCTGAACAAGCCACATGCAGCACGGGGGGGCAGGCAGGAGCGTCCAGCAAGGACACAGCCCAGAGCTCTGCTCTGCCCTCTGGTTTGCATTGCCTGGGGGGGAAAAGTCTCTGCTCACGGAAGCAACAGATACGCGAACAAAAGGAGTGCAAGGCCAGAGGGAAGGCAATTAGGCCTGAGAAGAAAGGATTTGTTCTCTTCTCACTTAATGGTTCAGTCTTTGTTTCCACAGTGAAATATGCTTGATACAGAAACCAAGTTTTTGTTCTGCACACACAAGGATACATCGAGAAGGCACCGACACCAGAGCACAGCACAGCAGCACGAGTACAGAATGACTTAGTAAGTTCAAACAAGACAAGCTTTTACTCAGAGGGAAAAATATTAATATTTTGATCTTGAATGCAGTTGCTTTGGGTGGAAAGGGAGGGGGCTGGCTTGAAATCCAGGACCAGATACTCATCCTGTCTGCAGCTAGAGCAGAGGAGTATCAGTGTGTCACTTACCCAGCATCATTCTGCACTCCTACCAACACAACAGGAGTGGAATCTTGATCTTTGACTATCCCTGCCATCAGCATAACTTCTGAACCAAAAATCAGCAGCAAAGGAGAGAATGAGGGACTTCAATAATTATTTTTTTACTTGGACAGTCACTGCTGATAGGTACAAGTTCTAAACTGATTTTCAAGGCCTTACATTCTCCCCCTACATTCTAGCTACTTCAGGTTGTTTTGGTTTTTAAACACTGTTTTGTCCTCTGATTAGATCCACCTTGGTAACAAGCAAACAGAACCTCTTCTTAGGGCTGCAAAGTGTATTGGAAACCTCTCAGATCACAAACAAGGACTTCTCACTTCAGCCCAGCTAAAATGAGATCGGGACTACAAAGGCTTTCCCAGTCAGTTAACACACAGAGGTTCACCAGCCCACACCCACGGAATCATCATCACTCCTTTGCTCAGAAATAGCACACTGTTCTGCAGATACACGGAACCAAAATGAGAATAGCTGCATCAAAGCAAAAGCTAAAGCAAATCAAAAGTATTTGGTTGAAAGGCAGTGAGCTGGGGAGAACTAAATTCCTCTTTTCCATGCAAGCAGAACACTGCTGGTGGAGGAACAGCAGGCAGACCAACAGATAACCTGTCTCACTTGCTGCTGCATTGAAGGATTGAAGGCTTTCAGTACCTTTAGCTTCTACATACAGTCCATGTTTCAATAGCTGGGAACCTCCTCCCAGAAGGAAAGGCAGATCATCAGCTTCACAGTTAATGACACATCAATCTTATCACTGCCATGCACACAGGAGTACTCATTCCCCTGGCTAACCAAGGCCTCCTGTACCTGAAATCAGTTATTAATTAATTCAAGGTCCAAGTGTAAGTCCCTGGAACTAGCAAATCACAATGGCAGAGGAGCCATAACCTTTACCACAACTACAAATGATCTGCAACACCTTGTGGAATGCACCCAAAATGGCATGTGTGTGTATGTATACATTTTGTAATAGACATTGTATTGTTTCATTCTTTTTAATACATATACAAGTCCCTGTACATATATACATATTTACAATTTACACCAACAGTAGATGTATGTGCATTGTACATATACACACGAACGCCGAGAATACACATGCACACACTTGTTAAAATAAACGCCACATCCCAGGTAACAAAGTCTTGCCACAGTCCAAAGAAGAGCAGCACCAAGTGGTAGGGGGCTCCAGATACCAGCTTTGAGACTGCTTAGAACAAACACGAGCATTCACAGAGTTTTGTACACTTGGGAAATATAGAATGGATGGCAAAAGCTTCAGCCCAGCTACAAAGAACCTTCATGCAAACCTCCCAGCTACACTCCAGCAGTTCCTGCTGTTCCATGTCCTGCTCTCACCAGCTTGTCCTTTCACTTTTCTAGCAGCCCATCATCAGTGACAATATGACTTTTCCATTTAATAGCTTAAAATATTCCTTCATTTCCCTCTCTTTGCTCACACCTTCACTGCCAGGACTTGCCAGAGGTCCCCTGGCTCTGCAGGGAAGGCAGGACAGTCCGAATCAGTCAGCAAGGACTTTCCCAGCAGCCAGAACAGCCTTCTCCAGCAAGTGCCTTTGCAAAGGCCACTAAACTCCTTAACATACCCAGGCTAAGCAATATGGGCTAGGGGAGCCCACAGTGCTGCCACCCACCCCTACAGCCCCTGAGCTCCACTGGCTGAGGGGCAGGACTGAGGGGCAGTGCTGGGCATGCAGGACATCAGCAGGGCTTTACAGCAGCACCCACTGTGTGTGACCTGCAAGGGGCACCCAGCAGCTCTGCTGGGCACAGGGATCCAGCACAGAAGGGGCAGGTACATGAGTGATAGGAAGGACTTGTATCTAGCACTGTCTGGGACATTCTTTTAGCTCCTGTCAGGAACTGGTAACAGGGAGCCACACATTCCATCCACACATGAAAAGGAGGGTTAACACCTGCTGGAAATGTAAGAATTTCTACCTAGTACCTCAAAATGAAGAATGCCCCCTTCTCCTCCTGGAGAATCATGGCAGCAACACAAATGGCAAGATGACCCATCTCACAGTGAGAGATGGGAGCCTTAGCTGTGTGATTAGTTAATCTGCTCACCAGGCAGACTGGGAGCTGTGTCCTTGGCCAGTGGTACAAAGTTCACTTATAAAATTGCTGTGTCAAATTTATAGGGAGCATTAAGTATCATTACAACTTCACTTCAAATCTTCACTTCAAATCCACTGCTCCAAAAGTAACTTAATTGTCCACAATTTTGTCTACTTATTTCCCTAAGACTGAAAAAATATATTTGCTATGAAGGACTCTGTTTTATTGCTATTGCTGGTTTGCACTGTGTGGTTCCATCTTTACCATTTCAATTCCAGACTCTTTGGGGATAAAATATTTGTTTTCTATTGTTGGTTTTCTTTTTTTTTTTTTTCCAATTTTTTAAAATTGTATAAAAATAAAGGATTTCCAAAAACGTGGGCTAAAGGTAACCAATAATACTTCTATGCTTAGGATCAACTGTTGGAAATGTGGTTGACAGCCACAAGACCAGAAATAAATCTCTAGTGTTTCTTTAGTTTAACATTTAAAAGACACGAAAAACTTCTGCTTATAAAATTGACCCCATACAGAATGGAACAGCTACACTAACAGCTGTTTCAGTATTACTTTTTAAAATAATGGTCCTAAATTTAAAAATAAAATCAAGTACTTCCTTTTATGATTTTCACATTATAAAACTGCACCATTCAAAATCTGTGGTCAGGGAAACCCCTTTGCAATAAGACAGTTTCTTCTAATAGTCATCGAGGGTGTTTTCCAGGAAAACATTCCTAACATCCAGGATGGAAGCCAGCTCCAAAATGTGCTTTTGGAGGTGAGGATTCTCCACCGTTTCATCTCTCGGCAGCTGAGGGTAAGATTCTGGGTAATTTCGGGTCTCCTGCTAGAGGACAGTGAAAACAGAGAATCAGACATTCAGTTGTTCTTGCACCCTTTCCAAAGAAGGCTGCAAAAGGCCAGTTCCACCTGAGGTGTCCTGATCTCTACAGCATGCCAGAGAGAAAACACTCCAGCATTTCCAGTCTTCTCTTTCCACTTCCTCAGAGAGGATCACAGTGGCAATACAAGTGCCCATTCACCTAAGGTGGTTAATAATGTTCACAGAAGCCTTGCAAAAAAAGGAAGGGAAAAAAAAAAAAAAAAAAGAGAGAGAAAAAAACCACAAACAACCCCCAGAAAGACAAAGCTAGTTCATACATACTTACCTACTAGGCTGGTGTTCATTTTTTGAAATTACTGACATGTCAGCATCTCCAGAGGGAGATTCATCTCATCCTACAACGAATCTTTAAGACACTGGGGGCAAATCTATCCCCACTGAGAGACCTGCTTCTCCTCCCTGATCCCAAAGAAGCATAGGTAGGTAACTTGGGCTGGGAATCCTCTATCTTTCTGTGCTTTGACTTCCTTTCTTCTCTGCCATGTTTAAAAAGGAGCAGGCTGTTTACATGCCAACACTCACATAGCTTAAAAGGTGCAGATCCAGAAGCAGACTTCAGTCTTGGCAGAGCATTACCCAGCAGTGAGGGAAAAGACCATCCTCCTGTTTACTTTACTCATTTACACTTCAAAGACCTTTCAAAAATCCACTCACACTAAATACATTCCAGCAATAACGTTCCACTCCTCCCACCTCCTCTTATATTTTTGTTATATACCTTTTTAGTTCTGTAGAAGTAATAATCCTGAATTATTAAGAGGAATTTTTCTAGCAGACAAAGCTGTTCAGGGTGACATAAATGACTTAGCGTGTCTGCTACTTATGTAGAGAAATAAGGTTTCAGAAAGTCAAGGCTTCCAGCCTCCAGAGAGATACCAAGGCACAGACTCAACACCAGCTGTAGCCTGTGAGCACCAGGTATCTTTCTGAAGTCACAGTGATGTGCTTAGCCCTAAAGCCCTTCCATCCTGCAGTTCTGTAAGCACTGGGCTGTTGTTCTCCCAGAGGGACAGATAACCCTGCCTACCCGGAAAATTTTGTGCATCCTCATGGTGGCTGAGCAGAAGATAAACCTCGTCAGAAGCAGGCGAAGAAATTCATCCCCAAAAAACTGCAGAAAGGACTGATCTGTAGAGAAGGAAAAGAGAACTCAGTTTACTAAGGCTTTAAAAAACAACAACAGAAAATCATTTAAACAAGAGATTAAAATAAATTTTTTTAAAAGAAGACTTGGGGGACAGGCTGAGGCAGAAGCAGCCCAGCCTCTGCCCAGCAGCAGCTCCAGCACGTACCCACGGAGCGGGAGTGGGTCAGCAGCTGGGCAATGTCCCGGTTGATCTTCCTCAGGTAATCCTGGCACTTCTCCCACAGTCCCCTGCGCATGCTTGACAATCCAGAGACAAACAGGAA